TCATACCGCCCAGAAAAACAACCACACATACACTTAAATTCTCTCACTCCTCAGAAAACAGGGAAGGAAAGAAAAGAGAGAAGCAAAATATGAGCTTGAATAAAAAATCACAGAGAAACTTATAGCTATTTAGGGAGGGCAGCTGGCTGAAGTCAGACAGGAAGAGAAAGATCAAAACACCCTGCCCTATTTTTCAGGCTCATTCAAGTAGAAGACAAAAACAGAACTATGGAAGAAAGGAAGCAAACCACACCTTTTCCCTGTGGTCTCCCCAGAGCTGAACATGTCTCTGGGAGAAGCCCTTTTACTGTAGACACTGACACTAAGCAAATAAAGTGACTCAAAAACGCTTCTAACTGAGTAAATCTGATGCTTCCGTTTATTTAAGATGTACCAGAGGCCATTGACCAAGGGGATCCATCGCTTGGTAACTGAAGCTTATTGCTTTCTCTTCTAAGTTCTCATTGGCAGGCTCTATGCCATTCCTTGCTTGTGATGTGAGACCTCTGATTTCCTTTCGTTGGATAGGATATGATTTCCTGACAGAGATCTGTCCTGATACCAAATAGCTATGATGAAATTCTTTTTTTTCTTTTTTCTTTTTGTGCACGTTATCATTATAGGAATGTAATGGATTCCCTGGATTCCCAAGAAATGCAGTGTGATGGGAACAGTACAGCCTAGGGACTCACTTGTTATGAACCTTTGGCTCATTCCATCTTTACTTCATCTGTAAAAGGGAGATCATGATAGCATCTACTGCAAAGGGTTTTGTGATGATTCTCTCTCTCTCTTTCTCTCTGTCTCTCTCTCTCTTTCTCGCTGTCTCTCTCTCTTTCTCTCTGTCTCTCTCTCTTTCTCGCCGTCTCTCTCTCTTTCTCGCTGTCTCTCTCTCTTTCTCGCTGTCTCTCTCTCTCTCTCTCACACACAGACATGTTTATATAGTGCTTAGAAAATGAACTCATAATAAGCAGTTGACAAATGTTAGCTGTTATTATTATGTAGGCAAGTCAGATTTTAGAGTTTGTGAGCCTTAGACACATTTATACAGAAGAAAAACTTTCTGGTCCAGCATCATATCCTCCACTTCCTCCCTACCTTTTGCCATCTTTCAACCTCCTCTCTCCTCTAAATCCAAACACAGGCCCCCATTTGATCCATGTTACCTAGGCCCTTCCTCTCCTTTCCACGTGGCCCCTCCTTCGTCTCTGAAGGAAGCTGCAGAAGCCCAGCCTGGTGCTTCTGCAAAGAAGGGGACACACACCTCTTCCACCCACTCATGCTGTTACTGCGTCTGATCATCTCTGTGCCATGTCCTTGTTCACTTAGCCTAAGCTAGGTGTTTGTCTCTATTTCCAAATGTGATAAAACACTTGGGAAAGACTGAGGTAGGTGTCAGCAGGAAGAAGAGAGGAAGTCAGACCCAGTGGCTTCAGCGCCCTCTGATGCCTCCTTTTCCTCAGACTCACACAAGCCCTCACAAGCTGGAGCTCCACAGCCAACCACCTGGAGAAGTACTCACAATCGGGGTCAAATGCCTTGTATGTGGGGTCTACCAGTAAGCCTGTGGCTAGCCTTCTGCTTCATGAATTGTCACATTTATATGAGAGATGTGGAGGGCGATGGGGCAGCATCCTAGCTCCTGTCCTGTTGAGGTTAAGTCAAGTCAGGCTGGGCTGTGGTAACCAACAACCTCCATTGCCTTCATTAAAGAACAGTTGTTTCTCATTCATACAGAGCGGATTGTAGGTGTGAGTGATTCCCTGGGGCAGCTGCTCTTCACGGTGACTCAGCTGATTGGACTGCTTTTATATTGGGATTGTGACATCTCAACACAAGGCTGTCTTGGTTGGTTTGGTAGCGGAGGAGGAGAAGAGTCACGCGCAGGGAGTTAAATTCTTTGACCAGGAACCTTTTGTTCACTTTCCATTGGTGAGAACAAGTCACACAACTCCAGGAGAGTAGGAAGTCTAGCTTCTCGTTTTCCATGGGCCTAGGAATTACAGGATGAGGACTCGTGATGTCTTCCACAACTTGCTCTCTTCTTCTTTGCTGGTATAATCTTCCATGGAGAAGAAATTATTTTTCTGATTGGTCTGATCAAGGCCTCTAACCAGGGCATGTTTACTAAAGGTCACAGAACAGTAAAAGGGTGTACAATTGCATTTCACCTCTCTTCTGAATCCTGCTTAACTAAAACTTTAAAAACTCACGTACGGACCACTTCTTGCTCTTCTTAGTTATCAAATATATTTTCTTCCAACTCCTTTTTGTTAGATTTTGCTTTGTTCTCAGCTGAGTCCATTGCAACCATCTAAATGGAACTCCCTCATTCCCCTTTCTCCCCCACTAATCATCCTTTGCTCTTTTATCTGAAGAAGTGTTCCTTTCTTCCCCCAAGACTTATGCTCTCTAGATTAGGCCATTTTTGTTACTGTTACAAGATACGTGAGACAGGGTAATTTATGAAGAACAGAAATTTATTTTTCAGTTCTGGAGCTAGAAGTTCAAGGTCAATGCTCTGGAAGGTTTGATGCCTTGGCCATTGAAAAATAAGTCACTGCAGTGAATTTCTGGTTACCATGATATCCTGGGTTAATTTTTTTTTTTTTTTTTTTTTTTGTGGTGGAGTTTCGCTTTTGTCACCCAGGCTGGAGTGCAATGGTAGGATCTCGGCTTACCGCAATCTCCGTCTCCTGGGTTCAAGCAATTCTCCTGCCTCAGCCTCCTGAGTAGCTGGAATTACAGGCACACACCACCATGCCCAGCTAATTTTTGTATTTTTAGTAGAGATGGGGTTTCACCATGTTAACTAGGATGGTCTCGATCTCTTGACCTCGTGATCCACCAGTCTTGGCCTCCCAAAGTGCTGGGATTATTGGCGTGAGCCACCGCGCCTGGCCGGTTCACTATTAACATGCACAGTATAGGCAAATCGGGGCCACATTTCATGCTGAAAGATGATGTGAAATGATGAGTAAACATCGCCCTATAAATAGGATGATAGACGGTGAATCACAATCTGTACTTTTGGTTTCATTTGCTTCAAAATAGTGTTTTACTGTCCGGGTTTTACTGTAAGAATACTTAACTAAACACTTGCATCAAATCATTCCAGTGTAACAGTCCTCACAAGAAGGAAGGCAGAAGGGCGAGTGCCAAGCTATTCTCTCCAACCCTTCTGTTTTTATTAATTGATTGATTGATTGAGACAGGGCCTTGCTCTGTGACCCATGCTGGAGTGAAGTGGTGTGTTCATGGCTCACTGCAACTTTGAACTTCTGGGCTCAAGCAATCCTCCCACCTCAGCCTCCAAAGTAGCTAAGACCATAGGTGCATGCCACCGTGTTTTTTTTTTCTTTATTATTATTTTTAAATTTAGACATGGGGGTCTCACTATGTTTTCCAGGCTGGTCTCTAACTCCTGGCCTCAAGATATCTTCCTTCTCAGCCTCCCAAAGTGCTGGGATTATGGGCATGAGCCATTATCACTGCTCTCTCTAGCCCTTTTAATGAAGTCTAATCCCATCCAGGAGGCTTCTGCATTCATGACTTAATCACCTCCTAAAGGGCCCACCTTTTGATACTATCGCATTGGTGATTACGTTGGAACACATGACTTTTTAGTGACTTTCAGACCACAGCATTTTGGAGAACGTTTCCCCTTTCTTCTTTTTTTTAATCTTCAGCTTCTCTTTTCTACAGATGCCTTCCACTTCACTTGGAAGCTTGTTAAGATCTCTCCTATCTTAAAAGTTTATTTTCCCAGAACACCAGAACTCATTCCTTCTAACTGTAACTTCGTACTCTCACCAGCCTCCCCCCACTTCTATCCCTGACTCCCCCCACTTCTATCCCTGACTCCCCAGCCTCTGGTAACTATTGCTGTACTCTTTACTTCGATGAGGTCAACTTTCTTAGATTTCACATATGAGTGAAATCACGCAGTATTTGTCCTTCTGTTCTTGGCTTATTTCACGTAACATATGGCCCTCCAGCTTCACCCATGCTGTTGCAAATGACAGGATTTCATGCTTTTTTAGGGCTGAATAGTATTCCATAGTGTATATATATACAGTGTTTCTCATTCATACCCAGTGTGTTGTAGGTGGGAGTGATTCCCTGGGGCAGCTTCTCAATACTAATTACCCTGATTTGATCACTACACAAGGTATACATGTGTTGAAACATCATGCTGTACCCCATAAATACGTACAATTATTACATGTCAATTTAAAAAACCCAAGAAAAGTATTTTTTCTTAGTGTTGTTTTTTTCTCAAGTGTGTCTCATTTTTTCCTTTGTTTTCACCTTCAAAATTCTTGACTGTTTTAATCTCCTGCCTTTGTTTTCTTCTTTCAAATTCACTCTTTTGAAACATGGCTTCTACCTTTAACACTCTGCTGTTCTCTTGAAGGTTATTGGTGCCCTACTAGTCGTAGAACACAACAATCCTCTAATACTGCATCCCAGTGAACCTTTTTGCAGAATTCTATTCTTTGAGAATCTCTATTTTTTTTCTTTTCTTTTTTGTGTTCCTTTTGGCTAGTAGGAAATTGTACTCTCCAAATGTTCTCTATGTCTTCTATTTCTTCTCTGAGAATTCCTTTACTAAATCCTCTTGAGGCCTATGCTTCGGAATGCTTGATTTACATACTCTGAATCCCTTCTTAATTTATACACTCTCTGTTGGCAATGTCAACACTCCATAGAAAGGGAGACCTATTGGTCAGAACAGGCCAGGGAATAGAAGAATACATAATAAACAATTCGCCTAGTTCTTCTAGAGCCTCATGATATGTAGAACATATATTTTTACTTCTTCTCCCAGCCCATTTTGAATATACCTACATTGCTGTCAGTGATTCTGCAGGCAAACAATGCTTGAGTGGTGTGACACAACTTTGTGAAAGTATCCTACCCAGTACCTGATGATGAAAAACTCTTCTATCTTGATTGGTTGTCAATCTGAGGAGTTTCCAATCCTGAGGCACCCAGAATACAGCTGCTTATACTCTTAATGAATATTTTTTGACTGAGTTTTGTGAACCCATCCTGAAGAGGCTGATGATTTTACTATCTCATTTTTTTCCTTTCTCTAGAATGGATTCTAGGTGGCTCCCCTGGGTGGTGGCCCTGCTAGTGAATCTGACCAGACTGGATTCCTCCGTGACTCAAGACACAGACTCTCCAGGTAAGAACAGGGCAATTATTTTTTCCAATGTGTGTGGAAGAATTACCATGGGGGAGCAATGCCTTTCCTTATAAGTCCAGGCCACAGACCAGACTGGAAGTGGCTTTTGGCTTCAAAGAGCTGTGTTCTTCCCTTTGGCAGAAAGGTACTCCTTCCCTCTCTACATAGGATGAACTTCGCATGCCAGAGCCACCTATTCAAGGGGAAGGGACTCAGGAAGAGGGAAACATTGTGCCTTGTTTAGGGTTCCTATCGTATGTATCAATCTCCTATGCAGCCATGAAGCAATGTGAGACCATGAAAGCACATATTAATGAGCAGAAACAGGATGTAATGTGCTAAGAACAGAATCCCCTTTGCATGTTAGTTTCATTAAACACAAAAGAGGAACAAACCTGGCTGGGGGAGCTCATCATTATTAGAGAATAGAAACCGCCCTGAGTTTATAATATCCATTCAGCAATACCAAAATCAGCGTAGATTTTTAAATGATGAGGAAAGATTCAGATTCCCCCGCCCCCGGTTTAGACTACTAGAGGAAATAGAGAAGAATATACACGCTCAGAAACTGCAGGCTGGAATTTCATCTGATATTAGCTACTAAGTGAGGGATAAGTGTGGTTGACCCAGGAAGGTCATTCTTATGGAGGATTGACCTTAAGAGTTGGAGGAGGCGTCTGAACTTAGAAATGAAAGTAAATTTACAACCCAAGATTAATAGTAATTATCCTTCATGTCTCAACTTAGATTCCATTTCTTTAGGAAGTCCTTCCTGACTTACTGTATCATGAACCCCATATGAATTTCCTTTGTAGTGTAGTTGTTGTTCTCAAGTACATAGAATTGGGTTAATTTTGCCCAGTGAGTTCACAGCACATTGTAATCACTGGCGGTAGTACAGGACTCTCTGCTCTCTTCCCTCGCCTCCATTCTCATTCTCTCCCTGCCCTAGAGAATCCATTCTAAAGGTGTCTGGGATGTCTCTAAGTATGAGAGTGGCCTTTAAAAATATGTAGCATTGTTTTTCTTTATGTATTTTTAAGATTTAATAAATGTCATTGTGCATTGAATCACATTCTGTTTCCTTTCTCACTTGACACTGTGCTTTCGAAGCATACTGAGGTTGAAGGCCTCCTCTTAGGTCCATGTGCTCTGACGTAATTTACCAGGCATGGGTTTTCCCCAAGGAGGGGGCTGGTTCATGGTCCCTGTTTTGGTTTTCCAGAAGATTTTGTGATTCAGGCAAAGGCTGACTGTTACTTCACCAACGGGACAGAAAAGGTGCAGTTTGTGGTCAGATTCATCTTCAACTTGGAGGAGTATGCACATTTCGACAGCGATGTGGGGATGTTTGTGGCACTGACAAAGCTGGGGCAGCCGGATGCTGAGCAGTGGAACAGCCGGCTGGATCTCTTGGAGAGGAGCAGGGAGGCAGTGGATACGGTCTGTAGACACAACTACAGGCTGGGCGCACCCTTCACTGTGGGGAGAAAAGGTGAGGCGAAAGGTGGGGTCTGGTGGGGCTCAGGAATGTCCCCCATGTGAATCTGGCCATGGATTTTCTTCCTTATAATAATCAATTTTCTGCTTTAGGATAAATGGTTGTCTGTGTAGACGTTCTGTCCCCAGCTGTGATGCATTATCCTCACAAGTCTGCCACTGTGGTCTTGCTCTTAGAACCCCAAGGCTGTCGGGGACTTCTAGCCCTCTAAGTGGGCTGGAAAAGCAGTGATCATGGGAGTACCTCAGAAAGTCCAAATCCTCCTGACAAGCATTGACATACCCTGTTACTGATCTTGGGGGCTGAGACTTGCCTATATTTTGTGTTCACTTGGGTGATCTGGGGAGGAGAGGTAGTGATTGTCCCTAAAGAATCTCGTGTCCTAGTTTGGTGGTTTTCCTCCACCATGTCTCATTTCTCTTCCTTCCTAGTGCAACCAGAGGTGACGGTGTACCCAGAGAGGACCCCACTCCTGCACCAGCATAATCTGCTGCTCTGCTCTGTGACGGGCTTCTATCCAGGGGACATCAAGATCAGGTGGTTCCTGAATGGGCAGGAGGAGAGAGTTGGGGTCCTGTCCACTGGCCTTATCGGGAATGGAGACTGGACCTTTCAGACTGTGGTGATGCTGGAAATGACTCCTGAACTTGGAGACGTCTACACCTGCCTTGTCGATCATTCCAGCCTGCTGAGCCCTGTTTCTGTGGAGTGGAGTGAGAATTAGTTTCTAGTGCTCTCTGGGCCTGACTCAGGACTATACTGACTCAATACAGAGCCTGTGTCACTTCTGCATTTATCTGGGTCACAACATTAATTCTTCTTTCCCTTGATTTGGGACAGTCACCGAAACCAGAGTTCTTGGGTTAGGGTGGGAGAAAACATGGCCGATATGTATCCTCATATCTTCCAAGAAATAAGGAGGTCTAATCACCTCATTATATGCTTCCAACCCTATGAACTGGTATCCTCTAATTCTAATTCTTTGGTCTTAGTAATTAGGAGGCATTCCTATGGGTTGTAAGAATCAGTAACAGATGGGTAGTAACTCCATGGGTGCCAATTTTGGTTTCAATTAACCATTTCTAAATTTATTTATTTTTCTCTAACTAGCATTGGATTTGGTATCTAGTATAGATTCTGGGATTTCAAGAAGGTGGATTAAGTATTGGGATATCTTTGCTAATTTTAAGACCTGTTTCCCATAGGAGCTCAGTCTGAATATTCTTGGAGAAAGATGCTGAGTGGCATTGCAGGCTTCCTATTTGGGCTAATCTTCCTTCTGGTGGGGATCGTCATCCAGCTCAGGGCTCAGAAAGGTAATGAACCTGTGAGGAGTGCCCTGCGGCCTGCCCAAAGGCTTCCCTGCTCCCATCTTCCCTAACATCAAAGATCTGAGGTAAGGAGAGCTGATTGTACCTCTTGGGGATCATTGGGATAATTTTTTCCGAAGCTAGAAACAGGGAATAAGCAGAGAGAGTGCTGACATTGCCAGCCATTTGTCTTCCCTTGGGACAACTATATTTGGTCCTAATTGGGGCAATCCATTCTTTGCTCGATTTCTTCCCAGGACATGTGGGGACGCACATGTCTGGTGATGAGGTAACGTCTCTTTTCCCTTGTCTTTGAGTGGCAGATTGTTCTCCCAGTTCTTTGGCCAGAGGAATATGCCATGGGGGTGGGGAGGAGTTAGGTTGCTACTGTCTGGGTGACATTGTCCTTTGAGTCTCTGGAACGGCTGTGGGGGGTGGTGAGGCTGCCTCCTGAGACCTTCATCACTGTTTCTCCAGGTCTCAAGAGCTGTTCTGCTGCCTCAGTCATACTAAAGTCCTCATGGAAGCTTCTCTCCCTGGAGCCTAAAGTAGTGATGGGTAGTCTGGGCCCTGGGTGAGGTGAAGGACATTCATGAGGCCAGTGTTCTGGGAATAACTCTCTTCCTTGATCCTTGGAGGAGTCCAATGCGATTCTGGAACTCTGTGCTCTGAGATCATGCATCTCCCACCCATCTGCCCTTCTCCCTCCTACATGTATACATCATTAATCCCCATTGCCAAGGAGTCTGTCCAGAAACTCCCCTAAGACCTTACTTCTTCCAGCCTCAAATCATTTGCTTTTCTATGGTCCAGCCCTGCCCCATAAGTCATGATCTCCAACGCTTTCTGTGTTCCAACTGCAGTCTCCAGTCTTAGAAGACTATGCTCAGGTAGTCACTGTTTCCTTTTCACTCTTTTTAAAAACCTCTTCATTGTAAAATAAAATGGAGATACAGAGAACCACATAAAATGTATAAGTTAGTGAATGATTTAAGGAAAACTCCCTGTAATTGAGTCAAGAAACAGGACTTTGCCAGCTCCAGCAGAAGTCTCCACATACCTCAGGCCAATCAAAACCTCTCCCTCCCCTCAAAGGTGATCATATCCTGACTTTCTGGTAACCTCTTTCTTGCCTTTCTTGTAGTCTATTCCCCCAGGTATGTGTCCCTGGACGCTACGGCTTACTTGCCTTTTAAATCTCTTATACTTCACCGGTTTCTTTCTCATCTGCCTTTGTGTCCCCTTATGATTAATCTGCTGAAAAGCTCGAGCCATTTGACTGTAGCATTTCCCACACTCTGGATGTTGCTGGCTGCATACACATGGTACATGTAACATGTCCTCTGCCCTCTGTATCTCCTGCAAATTGGCATCTGAACGCAGAGGCTGGATCAGACTCTGCTTTGATCTTTTCCTTTGGAAAGTCTGTACGTGGTACTGTGGTCTTTCACCATGAGATAAAATTCCAGCTGTTTCTCTTTTTGTGATGTTTGTAATCATTGATATTAATTGCTTAGGTCGTTAATTTGTTGGGGATTGTTAAATGGTGATATTTTGTCGTTTTTTTCTTCATTTATATGCTTCATTAATGCTATAAAGGGACAATTCCTTTCCTTTCTAGTGAAGAGACACTTCACTTACTAGTCAGTGGAAAGGCAGAATCAATGTTTGACTCTCCTTTTATTTACCAATTTTTAAGCTAATAAGTTGGTTTCCTAATAGTAATAAAATCTACAGATGCCAATCAGGCTTTCTGGCCTGATTTTAAAAAAAGTTTTTTTCTTAAATAACTTTTCATTTTTTAAGTAAGTATAAACAGAAGGATTTAAATGTTTGTTAGATTTTACTCTATTGCAATTTTTATGCTTGTTGAAGATTATATGCTTTCTTTTTGGTGAGTGAAAACTTCTTCAAGTGGCTAAAAATGCAACTGAGTTCCTTTGACACCAAGTTCTTTTGATAATTTCTTTGTTATCTGGGATGACAAGATGTTTCTGGTTCACCGTCCTCATTTCTTGCCCAGACCTGGAGGTAGCCATTCCTTTCAGAAATCCCTGGTTTATTTTAGTGGGAAATGACTTAAGACTATAATCTGGAGTTAGGGAGTTTCATCCTACTGAACCCACTGCTTGAGTCACCTCAAAAGTGGCAGCAAGGGAGTTTCCACAAGGAAGTGGTTCAAACCATCCTGAGGCGGTGTGGGTCAGGAGTGAAAGAAAGAAGCACGACATGTCAGGGTGATCAGTCCCAGGCATTTATTTGGGGAATTTACCTGCGGAGGGTTCAGGAGTCCTAACAGACAGCAAGAGAAAAGGGGTGTTCTGCCTGGGTATTTCTGCAGTGAGGGGGTCAGGGTATGGAGTTTATATGAGGGTTTAAAGAATTTGGCTCAGGGCTGGGACACAGTTTCGGTGTTCAGGGCAACAACCTAGATACCTAGTGCCTGGAGTGTTCAAGGCCTTGGCTTGGGTTCAGGCCTGCTGGGGAAAACCTGCAGTTGGCTGGGTCACAGAGGCATTCTGTGATTTTTCGGTCAGGATATGGAAAGAAAGCAGGGAGGGGGTAGTGGAGGAGCCTAAATAAATAGGAGTGGGCATTGTGTCCAGCTGTTCAATGGAAATATACCATTTACATATGTATACATTTAAAAACATCGGTCTTTTCCATATTACATCTGCACCTCCTTTCTTTTACACCAAGAGCTCCAGTTTTCAAGGACGCAGGGACAGACACAATTGGAAAGTCCACACTTACTTGCTTTTCCTGAATTAACATAGACAGCAGTCTAAGGATAATAACACTCACAGTGCAACCACAAAATGGCGACTGAAAACGGCTGACATTCTTTTTAGCTGCATCCTCCATGTTTACCTGTGTTCTCCCCACCTTTCCAGTTGAACTATGTCTATATTAATTGATCTCGTGCCATCACAGAGACTACTTGCTCCCTTATGAGTCCTGGTTCTATGAGTGGAGCTGTGTGTAATGCTCACCATCATTCCCTATGCTGATGTCCCTGTCATGCGGTGTTTTCAGGTGTGTTCTTTGGATCCATGGGGGTCCCTGGGACCCTTCAAGGGGCCTACGAAGTCAAGCATTTTTGTAATAATAGTATGATGTTATTTGCCTTTTTCACTGTATTATTTGCATAGTGGTACAGAAATCTATGGTAAGTGAGACTGTTAGTGCCTTAGCACAAATCAAGGTGGTGACACCAAGCCGTGTAGGTAGTCATGTTCTTCAGTGCCCTAAGCTTAGGGCACTGAAAAGAAAGAAAGAAAGAAAGAAAGAACCAGTGACTTTGATGAAGCAATAAAATCATTAGTTTACTAAATTTTAAACCTCAAGCACACATCTGTTTAATATCCAGTGTAAGAAAATAGGCAGCATTTCTGGTGCGCACTGATGGAAAGGCAGATGTTCTGTGGAAAAGCCACTGTATAATTGCATGAGTTGTGAGTGAAGCTAGACACTCCTTTTTCTTTTTTTAATGGGTGGGTCATCATTTCCCTTGAAAGAATGGCTGAAAGGCACAATGTGATTATTCAGACTTGGGTATTTGGTAGAAATTTTCTCAAAAATGAACAAAATGAGCTTATCCTATCAAAGAAAATAATATTGACAGTGGAAATTGGAATTTCAAGAGAAAACTAAAATTTTGGAAAACTTATGTGTGCTGCAGCTGCTCACTACTTAAAGATTTTCCTGATGAGATTGGTGGTGATATTAACAAATACGGTTTTAAAAACATTGTTTCATAAAATATGTCAGTACTTTAAGATCTGCATAACCCCATGAACCAATAATTTACAAATAATCAATGCATGATATTGCTAAGTCATGCGTAGATGAAAAGATCCGTTTAAAGATAGATTAGTGAATTTTACATAACAGAATATGAAAAGTTAATTGATAAGGTTTCAGATTCTACACCGCAACTAACCTGTAAGAATGTGCCATTTGTTGAGTTTTGGTGTCTTATCAAGGAAGAATAGTTACAATAGCTGAAAAGGCTATTGAAATTTTCCTCTTTTTCCTACTGTGTATCTGAGTGAGATGAGATTTTCTTCCTGTACCTCAGCAAAAACAACATATTGTTACAGATTGAATGTAGAAGAATATACAACCAAGCTAGTTTTATTAAGCCAGACATTAAAGAGATTTTTACAAATGTTAAATAATTCCTTCTTTTTCACTATTTATCTGTGCTTGAAAAGACAGCTATTTTCCATAAAAATATGTTATTTATGGTAACATGTAATGCGTTTGTCGTTGTTATTTAAAAACAAATAAACGGGGCCGGGAGCAGTGGCTCACGCCTGTAATCCCAGCATTTTGGGAGACTGGGGCAGGCAGATCACAAGGTCAGGAGATCGAGACCATTCTGGCCAACATGGTGAAACCCTGTCTCTACTAAAAATACAAAAATTAGTTGGGCGTGGTGATGCATGCCGGTAATCCCAGCTACTAGGGAGGCTGAGGCAGGAGAATCCCTTGAACCAGCGCGTTGGAGGTTGCAGTGAGCTGAGATCATGCCACTGCACTCCATCCTGGCGACAGAGCAAGCCTTGGACTAAATAGATATATATATAAAATGTCACTTTACATAACCCATATAAACTAAAGCTTCTTGGTGTTTTCAACAATTTTATGAATAAAAAGGGATCCTGATACCAAAAGAATTATAAACTACGGATGTAGTCATTGTGACTGTTTGAAATTATTTCTCCTAGGTGCCTCAGGAAGACTAAGGAAAGTGTCTTAGTATGTATGAGCTACTATAACAACTACCAGAGACTGGATGGCTTAAAAACAGCAGAAATGTATTTTTCATAGTTCTGGAGGCTGGGTCCGAGATCAGGGCGATAACCCGGTAGGGATCTGGTGAGGGCTGCTGGCAGCATCTTCTCACTAAGTCCTCACATGGTAGAAAGAGAGCGAGCTCTCTGGAGTCTCCCTTATAAGGACCCTAATCACACTCACAAGGGCCACACCCTCATGACCTAATTAATTCCAAAGGCATCATCTCCTACTACCATCACCTTGGATGTTTGGGTTTCATTGTATGAATCTTGGGAGGGCACATTCAGTCTATAGCAGGAAGTTCTTGCACTTCATAGTTGAAAGTCAGTTTTGTGGATATAAAAATCTCGGTTCTACTTTCTGCTCTTGAGTATCTTAAAAAGTTACTACATTTTCACATAGCTGCTATCAAAAAGTCTGATGATACCCTAATTATTAACAAGTCATTGCTACTTTTGCTGAGATGTCCAGATGGTATTTTCTTTTTCTTTAGTATCCACAAACTTTACTGAAAAATATCTCGTTGGGGGGAGGGCAAGATGACTGACTAGATGCAGCCAGATGGAACAGCTCTCACCGAAGAACCCAGACGACTGGTGTGTCCCTAACAGATGTTCAGATGGAAGGCACTTAGAGTGGACAGAGGGTAGACACAGAGCCTGGGCTGAAAGGGGAGAAAGCTGGGAAGCTTACATGAGGCTACAGCACATCCGGACTCATTCCTGTCCTCCAGTGGCCCTAGGGAAATAGGTGAGTTGGACTGGCAAGGAGCAACCCACTCTCACAGCCTCTGGAACCATGGCAGGAGGAGACCATCCACCACCATGGACACTTGAGTTGGCAGGGAGAGCCATTTAGAGAAGTGGCGGGGGCAGCAAGCCAGCTGGTGTGGAGCCCAGAGGATTTGGTGCAGGAGTGTCTACAGTGGAGCATGGCCAGGAATGGCCATTTTTCTAGGCTGAACTTACCCCCATAGGAGACATTAGCCCTAGGGGAACTGTTAGTCCTGAAATCTGTAGGGTGGTCTTGCCCATCAGATGGAGCTGGTTCTATCTGAACACCCCTTCATCTTCTGCCCTCTCCTGGGACCCCAGCCTGGCCACATCTGCTTGCAGGGCAGCCTCAGGAGCCCTGTGGGCCTGCACCATAGCTTC